AATTTCAAAAATAATGCAAGTGATTTTCATAACTGAAAAAAAAAATGTTTTTTGTACAGAAAAAAAAGGGACTGACATTCACTTTACGATAATAATTGAACCACATCACCCCCATACATATCAATGCAAGAAATAACAAAACCAATTTTGCTATTACCATAGGAAGCTCCATAAACAAGTCACTGATGACTAACCCCACAATCAGTCCAATCTTCAAGCAAGATGGCACATTTTCATATTTTCCAGGGATGGCATTTGGATTAGGACCAAATGTGCATTTGGAACAAATTGCAAAAAGTCCAAAGCTGTTAACCCAACTCTTTGAATACCAGACATGAAATACAGTAGATCACAAGTTATTATAATCATTTTGTATTTTGATTTATTGCAACTTTTTGTGCATGTATTCTGTCTGTGGTTAGTCAGTCTGGTTTGCCACTGAATCCAGCTTTCGACTGTTTACGATACTCTGTTTTTTTAATTGTAAATGTGTCTCCAGGAGAAAGAGAATGAAACTGATATGAAAACCTGAGAAGATATTGTAAATGTCTATAGACTGACAGAAAACAGAAATAACAAATGTTTTCCCCCACATTTCCAATAGGTGGATCAGCTGTAATACCTGCTAGCTGCTGAACTTGAACTGGGGTGCGACAAACTAATCAAGCACTGTGCAAGAGAGACCATTGCCAAGGACCTCATTGCACAAAACTCAGATGACGATTTCCAAAGCTGAAATATTAGTTAGTAAATGAGGAGCTTACCAAATATTGCACAACAAGAAAATAATTCCAATTAATCCATACACTTCATCGAGAATACCTCAAGTACTGCACTCAAACCAGGGAAAGTCAGCGTCAGAGACCCTCTGTCCCCTTGCAAGCCAGAAGCTACAATAAAATTTGCTGGTCTCTTTAACTTCATTTCGGTTATTAACAACTGATCAAGCTCAGTATCGATATCCCATAAATGCAGAAATGATAAGCCGAACCTAATCAGAGATTCCTCAAGAGCCTCGCTCCAATCCCATAAATCTGCAGAATCAGTGGAAGATACTTGAACAAAAGAATCTACAGTCCTATGGAGTGGATGTGGTGTCCCAGCTCCATGTTCCTTCATCTCTTTCTTACTAAAGTCTTTTTCCATCAACTCATGCTTCTGACGAGGGAACATCAATGATGCAACACCAAAACTCAGAGTAGCAATTCCTGGAAATGGGCAAGAGCATTTGATAGGATACCGTATTCTTTCAAGGGCAGATGATGTCGTTCTAGAATTTCCATTACTTATACTTGCGCGGAAAGTACTAGATTCAATTATATTTGGCAGAGTGGTCCCTTTCTCATCACTAATTAGATGAGGTCGAGAAGAACTCTCATCTTCGTTTAGTGGAAGAAGTAATGAGGAAACAGAAGTGTTCCCATTTAGTACCGTGCCTGAAATAGAATTCCTGCTGATTCCTTTACAAAAGTGATCAAACATTGAGTGCGAAGCCATCCCACGGAGAACCCGTTCTCTAGCACCTGTTTTTACATCCCAAATGTATAACACATCAACTGCATCAGATGTTCTTGAATTAAATCTACAGAGGCATGCAATGTATCCTCTAGCACCATCCCACACCACTTTTTCAGGATAATAAGGGTGTCCTGGAAATATTCTCTCCACTCGCGAAGTTTCAAGAGAAGAGAGAGCAACACATAAGTCCTCTCCAACGGAAAGAAAGCAATCATTCCAAGGGTGCGCACTCCACACAGGGGGAGAATTATTTGGCGCACAGAGCCACATGTGGTGCAAGACTGTAACGAGATCCCCAGTCTCAAGATCCCATACACGAACCGTACAATCCATGCTTCC